GAGAACATTTATAATACAAAACAAGTCAAGATTTCTGAATCATCTACTTATAGTACCATCATTTTCAATAATAGAGTCATCGCATAGAATATTCTATTGAAATAGATGATAGTAATTTATTGTAATTATTATTTTACTTTTCAAGGATGAAAAATGAATCTTTTTCATAGATATATTAGTAAATATTTCATTTTGTCTTTTATCTCATGTTAGTTGATATGATTAAATGATAAAGTGCATCATGATATGCAAAAAAAAAAAAAAAAGGTAATAAGAGTATAAATTTTATGTATGATCTCTTTCAAACTTGATGCATAGAAATTTTATCATAAATATTTCTCTTATTTTAAATATACATCACTTGTTTAAAATAAATACTTGTATATAAATTTAAAATAGTTTTTTTTTGTTGAGTGTTCATTTTGATAGTAATAATTAGCAAGTCAGATAAAATAATTTTAGTACCTATGAGGATCGATCGACTCGATGAACTGTTTGTATAATAATCTTTGGAAAATTAAGATTCTCAAAATCAATCTTGTGACTTCTGTTTAACCCTTTGAGAACAGTGGTACGTACGTATGTACCCTCGTATTTTTCAGTAGAGCAAAAAAAATGTTGTATTTACATTAATCTGTTAGACTTTAAGGTCATAGGTTGTTCTATTTGTAATCTCATGCTTATCTTTCTTTCTCTTATAGAGATTCTTTTAGTATGTTCTCTTTTCTTTCTGTTACTGTTACAATGACATCATCATTTTTCTCGTCTCCTGATCTATTTTATGTCGGAAAAATTTTTGCTCTTTATTGTGCTTCTATTCTCATTGACGAAATTACGTTGTTCTTAATTTTGCTAAAGACTAATCATTTCTCTTTCACTACAAAGCGAAAGAGATAAAAGAAGTGAAATAATTATTACATAAACTTTCAAATTCTTCAACACAAATCAAATCCAACATCGAATATTTTACTTGCAAATTAGCATTTTGTTTTAAAGATCAGAAAAATTATTTTTTTTTGTAACGATTATCATAAGATTCTTATGTAATGATTTTGAGCCAAATAAAATAATATGATTGAAAAACAAATTCTCTAAACTATGTTCGAAAATGGTTTTATTTGATAGTGCAAATATTTCTATGTCAAATATGATGCTTATAATAACTTTATAAACTTTCTTCGTCGAATTGTATTCAATTTATGAAAAGATTCATGCTGTAAAAGGTGATGAAAGTATTGAAATTTTCATTAGAAATGCGAAAAAATGTTTCTTAAATGTTTTGTAAGTCGACTCCAGTTCAATAAAAAGATCGTAGACCATCATCGGTTAGTTATACTGCTAAGTGAGGAAAAATTTTGTGAGTCCGACATTTCGTCAGTGAATGAGTATTTTGAGAAAATATCACTTTTTCATTAATTTTCATCAAAGGATTTTGGAGTCGAGGAATTCAACTCAGTGGTTCATTTATTGAAATAAAATGCGTTTGATTTTTCTTAGTAATTCACATATTGATTTAGCTCCTTTGAGCACAAAATTCTTTAAACAAATTTTACAGAAAAAAATGATGTTTTTGCAAAATTATCGTTCACTGACGAAGTATCGAAATTCTAAATTTTTCCTCATCTAGCAGTATAACTAGTCGATGATGGTAGCTCTCCTTACATAATTAGTGTCAACGTTAATCTATTGGTATTACGCCATGCGTAACTGAGATAATTTTCAGCAAAACATGCTGAACTCACGAAGGAATGTTTTCAATTGATCAATTGCTTTTTCACTGAAACCTAGGGAATTATAGATTATCGATCATGCTGATTTCAGATATGACCATAAGAAATTCTCTTAGATCTTCATATGTTGGTTTTCTAGAAAATCGATTTTACAGACTAACAAACTTTTCGGCAAAAGTCTTTTTTTTAATTCGTATATATTGTAGAGTATAGCGAAGTACCTAGAAAAATGATAATTTTTTTCTGTTGCAAATTATTTTCCTTTTACAGAAAATACAATCAGTTTAAGCCTTACAATAGATGCATACAATAAATACTAAAATTATTTAATAAGATTTGTTTTAAATCTTTTTCCGCTACCATAAGCATTGGAAAGAATCCAAATAGTGATTCGAATAGACAAAAATGGTTTTCAACAAGAATATAAAAATTATTATCAGATTCGCAAAGATAGAAACTCCAGAAAACTAAAATTCTAGTTTTTCAATACCTTCAGCGTGCAAATAAAATTTTGTTTAGACTCCATAAAACGATAGAGTTAACCATCCTCTACAAAATGAGACATTGCCAAGTTCTCTGCAACGTTTTTTTTTGGCTGAGATACAACAATTTGATTGAAGATAAAAAAAAACAAGAATTAAACAATTAATCTATCTTCTAAAAATTATCATTATATTTAGGTTCGTTCATTAGATCATCAAATTCAATCATTTCAAATAAAAAATAGCGATAATACAATGAAATATAATTATTCAATGTTATGTGCAATGATGAATCGTGCTTGTCTTATTGATGGAAATTATTTATTATCAGATAGATTTCGTCAAGATGCTTTATATTTAAAATATAAATCTGATGAAATTTATATTGATTCAGCAACAGGTGCTAATGGTATATCATCATTTATATTTGGTAAAAATCATCAAATTATAAATGTAACATCACCTGAATCAGATTATGTCGATGAAGAAGAAGAAAAAGAAAATTTAGATTTAACAACACCACCATCTTTAACAGAAATTATATCTTATGTTCCAATATTTCGTCTTCGATATTCATTAAATATAACAACGAATGAATTTCATTATTTATCAACGAAATGGGAAAATGAAATATTACATTATCTTAATGAAAAATTTCAATCAAATTTAACTTATTTATCAGTATCGAGTTCAACAGCTATAAGTGATACTGTTAGTAAACACGCACGTGATGAAGGACCATTTACAGCAATAATGCTTTTAATATTTTTTATTTTTGTTTGCTTTTTTATCAGTATTCAAGGAAATTTTCATACATCTGTGGGATATTTATCTCTTTTTGGAATAATTAGTTTCATACTTTCTTCTGGTGCTACATTTGGTTTAATATCAATTTTTAAAATTCAAATTATTGAACCTATGTCACTTGTTGTTTTTGCTGTTGCTAGTAAGTTTCAATAGAGATAGGTTTTTTGTTTGTTTTTTCGATACAATGTGAAGCACAGTTAACGAGTAGATCATTTAATTTCGAGGTTTTTTTTCTTCTCTAATATGGACTCAACATGATGTTGTTCGAGCTATTTAAGAAAGAACTCATGATAAGTTCGGATAATAATATGTTTTGTCTAAAAAAAAACTGGAACTGTAAATAAAAGAATGTTTCAACTCAATCGGATGATAGAAAAACAGTCATTTTTGCTCCGATAGACTTTATAAAAGCTTTTATTGCATCTCAATACATTACAAAAAATTATCGCTTTCTAGAGAATTATTTTCTGTATCTTCTAATATACTCGATAAAATTATGTGACATGTCAGGAACAAGTTCAATTTGAGGTTTTCCTCAAAAAAAAAAGAAATTCGAAATTCTGATTTTAATAGATTATCTCACTCTTTTCCAACGTATTTAAATACGCGAAAAATACTTCAATACTTTGTCTAAATAGTAGAGCCTTGCAGATCCGGTTCGTAAAAACAGAAAAAAATTCAGTTCCTAAAAAAGTGTCTTTGAAATCGGTGATTTGTTAATAGTTTCTTCCCAAAGTCACACTCACAAACCTTAATGAAAATAGATTATTGTGAAAGTTGCAGATTTTTTGATTATACCTCTTTTGAAATCAGAACATCGGACTTTGCCGTTGTGTATATGACTGGCGTGAAAAATATGCTTTTATTATAGCCCTATCTTAGGATAGAAACAATCAAAAGATCCGAAACTTCTACAATAAACTATTTTCATTAAGACGTGTCTCTATGCAAAATTTCAAGTCGAAATTTGACACTCAATTTTCCTGATGTTCCAGAAGAGAGCCACGCTACTTTACTAAAAAATATAGTATCTCGACAGTACTAAACGATTAGTTTGAACTCTTTTCAGGGTATTCATAACTCATTAGAACTTACATGATGTACGTAGTCCTCTGACTCAAAAGCGATTTGATACTTAGAAACATTTCTTTGTAAGCACTATGAAATGTACGAATTATTCATAGAAATAACGCTTTTTTATGAAGATTAATTGAAGGAATATGTGAACTCTCACTTCAAAGAGGACATAGATCAGAAAAAACCAAACAAATATTAGAAATCTAAAAATTTTTCGCTTCGGGAAAGATTGACACGAAGCGAATTCTCCTAAATATAACTCATCAAACTTTCTTATTTCTTTATTAATATATAAAATCTTCAATCAGACATTATACAAACGCTTTGTTTGATAATATTCTAGTTATTGATTGTATGCGTGTATCAATTCTTTGTGGTGAATATCATCGAATAATAAATTTACATATACCAACATCTTCAACAAATGTTTTAACAAAAATTAATATTGAAAAAATTCTTCCATCAATACTAAAATATAGTCGTCCATATTTTTTATCTTCAATATTAATTCAAATAATTGTTTATTTAATTCTATCATTAATATCTCCAATACCATGTACAAAATATCTTAGTTTAACATTAATCTTATATGTATTTATAAATTATTTAACACATTGTACATTTTTTTTATCATGTCTTATTATAACATTACAACGTATTAAATCTCGTCGTCATTGTTTATCATGTCATCATTTATCAAATGATTATTATATAAAAAATCGTAAAAAATCCATTGAAAAAATATTTTTTCAAAAACTAAAAAAATTTTTTGAAAATATTAATCCAATATTTAAAAAAATTTTTTCTGGATTTCTATGTTTATTAACATTAATATGTATTATATTTAGTATATGGTTAATATTTTCAATTGATACACGTTTATTTGATGATAAATTTCTTCCAAGAAATTCATCATCATTAAGATCATATATGAAATCACAAAATGAAGATTATAATATTGGTCCTGTTATTATGTTTGTAATTCCTCAACCAATTGATTATCAAAATAAAAAAAATCAATTATTAATTCATCGTATAATAGAACAATGTCAAAATGAAACAACAACTAATAATTTTAAATTAGTATGGATAGATCATGAAGATATAAATCATCTTTTAACTAGTAAAGATCCAATTGATGTTCGAATAACACCATATTCACAAAATGATATTATTTTCTCAGAAGAAAACAATAAAACTATAATAAAATCATCAAGATTCTATTGTCAATATAAGTCTATTAAAGGTAAGCAAAAATTTATTTAACAAATAGAATATACAATTAGATCACGTTACTTAATTGCAGTTTGTATATAAATAAAGATTAAACATTTGACGTCCATCCGAATAACGACATTCTAATAACTATTGACTCAATATGTAGATAAAGTTTCGAGTAGAGAGCCCGTCAAATTAATCTCAGATCTAGTCGGATCCGAGTCTGAAAATTTTGGATCCGATGAGTTGTAGTCGTCTGAGAGCTGTGTAGAATACGCTAGTCATCAAATACACAAAAAAAAATAGGAAAAAATATATCTTCGAAGCGACTATCCGATTCCGATTAGAAAATTTCATTGAGAGCACCAAAGTACGGTTTCGAAACGGGATCAGGTCCAGGTTCGAAAAAATCTCAAACCAAACTTACCCGATCAGATCCCATCGTTAATCCAGATCCGAATCAGAAAATAACTATAGGTCTAACATAGTAGAATAGTCAACCGTTTAAGTATCAAACTATCAACGACTTTTTGTCGGGTTCGATTTTTTTGTGTTTTCGGATAGATATTATACAAACTAATGAATTCTGATAATCTGATCAACGTATTATAGAAGATTGCGAAAGAGCGATATAAGCGAAAAAAAAAGTCATCAGATTTAATTAATAAATCGATTTTATTCTTTAGGTGATCGTAAAGATCTAAGAACAATGAACAATCTGTATACTTATACTCGGCAAAGTTCCATACCATCAATATTTCCTTATAGTCTTGTATTTCCACATTATGAATCGTTAGGACAAATACGTATGGACATCTATTTATTAATACTTTTAATGACTATAATTACCATTTTAATCACTTTTGTAATGTTTATTTCATTTAAAAAAGCTCTTCTAATATTTTTACATTTACTTACACTTCTATCTGGAGGTTTAACATGTCTATATTTATTTCATAATTTTTCATTTAATTTTGCAAATGCACCTTGGTTATATATAATGCCTATTATATTTCTTGATACAATAATTCATACAACTTTTAATATAAGAAAATCAAAATGGAAATATAATCGTATTTTATTTTCATTAATAATATCTTTAATTATATTTTCTTTTTTTCCTGTTGAAACATATATATTTCATATAATATGTTATTCATTGATTTATCAATCAATTATTTGTTTTATATTAATTAATATAATACTACCATCATGGTTTTATATGATTGAAACAATATCAAAGAAAAAAAATAAAAGAACTAAAATACCATCAACAATAATTATCGATACAAATCAATCATTAATTGTTGGTACAGAAATACAGAATCTCGCTTGTGAAACCAATGGAAATATGAATGGTTCCATTTGAAACAAACTATTTCTGTGATGTATATGTTCATTCGTTTCTTTCATTTTCTTTTTTTTGTTTTGCATTTGTTTTCCAATTTAGCTCAGCGTCATTATTTGCGTCCATGTGTCTATCGGAATGTTTTTTTTTTCGTTTGTCTCTTTATGTGAAGTTTTAAGTCCCACATGCATGTATTCATTTAATGTATTACGTTTCTATAAATAGTTGTCGATAAAGAACTTTTCATTTTTGTTTTGTTGTTTTGTTTTCGTTTTTAAAAATAATATATGTGAAAATAAAAAGTATTCGAGAATAGAAAAGCATTTACTAAAATGAATAAAAGTGAATATTATGGATTAATTAATAGTACGTGTGAAAAAAAAAATTTTCTAATAACAATTTATGGTTAGTATAATTGAGATCGTTAAGAAAATGTTATAAATTGATTTCATATTTGATTTATTTTGGAATAATAGATGAATCACAGATGTAGCTTGTTTCTTGTAGAGGAACCGCGAAAGTCGAAGGTATAAGCTTCCAAAAACATTGAAAATGATTTATTATTGCTCAGTAAAACTACCAAGATTTTTGAATTTTTATTACTTCTGTGAAACATTCTCTTGTACACCCTTCATTGTAGAATTCTCATCAGACCTCTACTGTTATCAGACATTGTGTTATTCATGTTCAAATAAGTAAATAAGAAACAGAATACTTGAAGTTCAAGTGATAGATAGAAAACATCTAGAACTTAATGACATCATTGAAAAATCAAAGCAGACTGTCTGCTGGAAAATTTTTTGAAATATAACTGAACTCAAAAAAAGAGCCTAGTCCGAAAAATCCACAAAAGAAAACGACAGGGAGACTTGCAAGTGTGTTTCAAAATCAAATAGAATTTGTTTTTTTGAAAATTTGTATGGATTACAGTAGAGTTGTATTTGTTGTAAACGCTAGACGGGAGAAACACCCATACTGTACGTTTGCTCGTATCACCGTTGGTAATACCGCGGCAGTAGATTGCTCGCCAGAGAACAACTTTGGGTATAATTCAGTAGAACGACGATCAAAGGATAGTCGACTATTTAAGTATCGAACTACCACCAATTAATTGCTGGCATATTGGGGGTTTTTGTCCGGTTTGAATCACATGAACAGCGTATTACAAATAGAACAATACGTAACAGTAAAAAAAGTAACTCAATGTAAGAAGAGGTGATTTCAAATACACCGAAGTATTTTAAAATTAGGTCAAAGTACTCTAACATATTTTACTACATGAAGTGTGCTGCTCTTTCCCCAGAATCGTCTGTTTTTTTTGTATTTGTATTACTTTTTCTCCTATATACATTGAGTTTCTCTTAAAGATGCAGGATACTCCGAGTTCTGACTGATCGACCGGATTTCCAATTAACGCGGGACGAATGCATACATAGTTTTTTATGCCATAGTATTAATTAGCAGAAACAATGCGATTTACAGTCGTAGCGTCTAGAATGCGTGATTGCGGTTATGTGTTAATAAACTTTGAAGTAATTGGAAGCACTATAAAGTAGCTCAAATGAACTTCGAGTGCAAAAGTATGTTGGTTCCCCGAATATAAATGAGAAATTTGTAACAAAATATCTTTTAGTTCATCATGATGAACGAAAATATATCTAGCTGTATTTTTTTCTTTTACTCATCGCAAACTATAAAACGTTAAAGTGTCTATCAGAGTCTGTAAAGACAAAAAACACATTTCATGTGTTCTTACTAGACTCAATATTCATTTTAAAAAATGATACAAAAAACTGTTAAAGAACTCGATAGAAAAAAATTCGTCAGTTGCTATTGAACAAGCTTCTAGCGTAGTCCTTGTAACATTAAAATGTGAAACACAAGATAACTACCGTTACTACATAATAGAATGACTTCTTTAATAAATTGTTTTGAAGTCAATACACTCTATTTGAATAGGTTTTTTTGCTTTGATCTACTATTTAATCCACACTATCGGCCAAAAAAAAACGGTTTTTTTATTGTATGTATTGCTCAAGCTTTGACTGCTCCAAAAGTCAATTCTGATTTTTCGCGCCATCTATCGATCAAAAGTTCAACTTTTGTCATGTTCGATGATTGCTTTGAATTTGACTTTTTAATCATTTTGTAGAGAACACTTTGACTATTTAGAGAATGTGAATCATCTACTGCAATATCTCCCTTTTCTGGATAAATTTTGATAATCTTTGAACTGACAGACACGTGTGAATTTTTAATCCCAGGAGACTAAAAATGTTGCTGATGACAAACAGATTTATTCAAAAGATTGGTAATGGTCTCAAATGATAGAGAAATAAAAGTACTATCTTTTAATAAAAAAGAAACATTCTGTGCAGTGTAATCTTGATGAACAAATTGATATACAAAATCAAAAATTGTAGTTGTCATACTAAATGTTCTACAATATTTTCATTATTGCTTTGCCTATAACTGTGTCAGATCTCCATCCTTTGGCACTAGATTTTACCCCTTTTTCTTCATCCAGAAAGATTTTTTGGTGAGTATCTATACCACATCATGAATGAAGTCACACTTATATTATATCAAGAGACTTCTCTTTAAAGACGCTATTTAACGCTGGCTCTCTCATCACTCCATAGTAGGAAGCTTTCGTTTCTTTCTAACATTACAAGTATAAGCATTTACAATTTCTGAGTTAGAACCACTAAGGATTGAAGAATAGCCCAAAGCTAGAATAGGTATGCCCTGGAACTCATTTATCTGAGATCTACAGATTTCATGAATCATAATATGCCAAGCGTTTCTATTCACACCAAATAATATGTTCATATACTTTTTTTTACCTTACAGATTAAGAATAAGATGCTATTCTAAAGAAAAACATGGATGACGTAATAAGAAATACCATCAAAAAATACGATTGAAGAGCCTAACATCAGAACTCTTCAATACAGAATTCAAGAAAAAAGGAAGCACAACGTAAAGCTAATTATCAGAAGAAGAAGAAAGAAGAGTCAAATAAGCTGTCGTCCACGTTGCTCGCGATAAAGAAAACACTAACAAAAGCTATTTTAAGAAAATTAGAAGACGTTAAACGGCGACGAAAAAGACAGTTACATTACAAAAATTGATGCTACGACAACAAGTTATTGAAAACACCATTGATACAACACCACCTTCATCACTGACAAAACTGTTGATCGAAAGCTTTAGTCCATCATCGAAATGAAGAGGAACTTTGAGATTAATGGATTAAAAGAATGATCTTCTACATGAAATGAATTCAAACATTTGAAAAACTTTCAATATCAAATTGTCCAAGAATTATTCTCCATCATCAACAGATTCTACTCGTCTTCAACAAACTATAGAAAAATTCTTATGTCAAGATGATGTTACAAAAAAAAGTAGCTGATATAAATTAAGAAATATATTTAAGGAAAGCAAATACATTTGACGTTAAATGATCTATCAATGTTATGCTAAAAATTTATTTTAACTTCAAATTACGAATGTCATTATTCCACTTTTACTAGATATGTCCCTTAAGATATTCAGAAACCAAAAGCAACTGATTGGGGCACCTGCTAATGTGCCTGCTGTATGAATCCACAGCTGAAATATGAAAAACTTCAACTACTAAAATTGATTCATTCCATTCTGCAATCAATAATTGACGAATTGCCATTGAATATTACACATTTAATCACGGATGAGATGAAAATTGATGATCTAAAAGGAAAGATTATTGAAGCTAAAAAAATGAAAAATTTAGCATCACATTTTGTGAATGACAAAAAAAGATTAATTAATCGATAGCTCCTGTTTCGAAAAAGACATCATTAATATTATCAGTTGTTAAGTTTGTTAATAAATTTATCAATGAAATTGATGTAAGTGTAG